CTGCCAAGGTTTGTCTGAATTGCTGTCAAGGTTTGTCTGAATTGTTGCCAAGGTCCTTATCTGTTTGTTTGCTTGGCTTTCAGCCACCGAGATTTTGGCTTCTTGTTATTAAAAGTACATTCTAGGTAAGCTTGTCTTGGCTTTCGTTATGGGACGGAGGTGGTGGTCAAAACAATTTCTATCCCTATTTTCTCCACCTGCATATGGCTGTAATATTCAAAGACGTGGGTTTTTTCCCCCATTGTCTTTCACCTGTTTTGTTGTACATATTTCTCTTAGTTAATTCTTCCCATCCTTTTTACATCAAAATTTCATCCTTCATTCTTTCATAATTCAATGTCTCAGCCTACAGTTTTAGTACCGATCAGTCATTTATACATTTCAAGTACATCTATTCATATTCTTTCTAGTCCTTCAATCCGTAGAATTCTACTGTTAATACACATGTTTACATTGAAATATAGATCAACTGCTTCCTGTTGGGGCCCTAAGGAGCCCGGGCGGGTAGGGAAGGAGTGGCTGGGAGAGGAGGGGCAAGTAGAGGCCAGTGAGGCGCTCTTTGACATGAGTGACATCAAGTTGGCCACACCCACCTACTCACATGACCACCTAGCCACGCCCACCCAGCCAATCATTAGGCAGGTCATATTAGTGGTCCGCGGGATTTAAAATTATGAATTTAGTGATCCCTGATGTCCAAAAGATTGGGGACTCCTGTCGTAGAAGACTTAACTGTTGTGTTAGAAGCTATCTCAGAAGTTTTCTGAGAAGTTACCTTACAAGCTCTTCTCAGTTCCAAAGACTTACCTAAGCGACGGTACCCCTCTGTGCCCGAGATGGGACCGGGGGCGATGCTAATCACTCTAATTCTTTGAGGCCCCCATTCCACAGCCAGATGCTTCGTCATAGCGTCTATGAAGAGACAGATGGGTTTACGAATATTCAGAAGAGCCCCCAGGGAAGCCCAAAATTAGAACTACAGAGGGGTCCATGAGATGACAAAGTCTATTTCAGGATTAAAACTCCTATTTTTGAAGGAGGAAGAGAATACGGCGCATGAAATGGAAGGCATCATTTGGAGATACACAATCTTGGTCTCATCAAGAATTAGGAATGTATATTCTTGGGTTATGGGGGTATATACCTTCTAAGGTCAGAATGAAGAACTACCTTGATTTAATTAATATTTCCTAGTTAAAGGTAAAAGTTCCCCTCACACATATGTGCTAGTCGTTCCCGACTCTAGGGGGCGGTGCTCATCTCTGTTTCAAAGCCGAAGAGCCAGCGCTGTCCGAAGACGTCTCTGTGGTCATGTGGCCGGCATGACTCAACACGTCAAAGGCACACAGAACGCTGTTACCTTTCCACCGAAGGTAGTCCCTATTTTTCTACTTGCATTTTTTACATGCTTTCGAACTGCTAGGTTGGCAGAAGGTGGGACAAGTCATGGGAGCTCACTCCGTTATGTGGGGCTAGG